TTTTCAATTCAAAAATGTTTTTTAAAGTTTTGAAATTTTTTTTTTTGACGACAATCATCATCATCGGATGATGATGATGATGATGATCAGAATTTTGCATGTTTCTTGCGTGTGTCAAACATATTGTTTTTTTTAACATAAAAACAGGATGTTTTTTTAAACAAGTAAAAATTTTTATTGGATCCACCTGAGTATGCAATGTGCCGCATCAAAAATTTGCCATTAAGATGCCGTGCATAATTAGTATATGGACAAAACAAAAAGATTCGGACATTACCTTTGTTTTCTGTGTGTATGAAGGTTAGTTTTGTGAATAAAATGATGATAATGGAAATGAAAAAAAAAATTAATTAATTACGACAGCTAATCATTATCATCATCATCAAAATGCCTGTGACACTCATGCATCATTCACACACTCGCACATTACACATACTTGAAGACAAATGTCATCATCATCATCATAATAATAACAATAACCATTATCAAAAAGCATACTTAAGATGTATGGAAAGGAACATCTGCTATGCACACAAAAACAATGGAAAAGAATGAGTGAGAGAGAGAGAGAAAAATTGGTTCAAATCATTATCATCTCCCCGGTCAAGTGAATGAATGAAACATTTTGAAACATCCACATCATCCATTGCCATTTCACATTTTTGTTGTTGTTGTCCATCGAGCAAAAGATAAAAAGGTGTAGATAATTTTTTTCATTATAAGATAAGGTCAATTTCATTTCAATTTTTATTTGGATGCCGACTATACAGTTGTTGTCTAAAATAAACAAATTATAACACACACAGGTCGACTAAATTTCATTAATTTAGTAAAATGTTTGATCTTATCCTAGTCAGTCAGTTTTTGTATCACAGTCATCAGTCATTGTTTTGTCCATATTGTCCGTGGTAAAAAAAATTAACATTTTTTTGCTTTGTTTTGCTTGATTTTGAATATGAAAAAAGCCAAAAGGGTTACTATAGTTGAATTATTTTCAATAGGGGAAAACATTTGACCATTGAAATTCCATTGAAAAAATTATGTAAATTCTTGTTTTGTCGTTTATTTCAATCATCACTGTCTTGACCAAATACTCATCAACATCAAGCATCAAAGATTATCATCAACATTATTAAAATGTGGCAACCGATAACACAAACAAACAAACAAACAAATTAAAATTCAGCTTTTTGTATGTAAATTTTTCTTTGTTTTGTTGTTGTTGTTGTTCGACAAACAACAACAACAAATAATAATCATTATCATGATAATCATCATAACAAGATATTTTTTTTCTATTATTTCGGCCTGGACAAACAAACAAACAAGCTGCAGCGAATTGAATATTTTTCGGTAAAGATTTTTTCCAACAAAACAAACAGCAGAAAAAAATTACAGTAGTCAAAATGAATATTTGAATCTATGTTTTGTTTTGTTTGGCAGAAAATTGAATTAAATTTTTTCTTTCAGAAATAATCCGAAAAAAAAATTTGAATTTTTTTCGGTTTTTTTTTGAAATAAAAAACAAAATTCGTGAAAAATTTTTCCTTTATATGATGGTATCAATCGCTTAGTAGTGATTTTTGACTTGTTGTTGTTGCGCATCATTTTCGATTATCAACAAGTTATATGAATGATGATGGTGGTCAAATTAGATGGATCATTATAAATCCAAAAAAAAACATCTCGGATACCGAAACTAATTATCAAGCATGCTTGTTTTTTGTTGTTTCCTTCAAAAAAAAAACATTCAATTCAATTGGAAAACAAAAACAAAATCGGTGTAAATGATATCGATCATTAAATGATAATGATGGTATCGTGCATTTCAACAACGAAAAAATGATTCTCATTAAACAAAACAAAGCAAACTTTTATCCAATGTTTGTGATCCACATTTTTTTTTATTTAATATTATGGTCATGGTCGACAGGTATTGCTTATGATAATAATAAAAGGATCTATTTTCTTTTATTTTTCAATGGAAAAAAGTTTGTTTCATTTTCGTTCGTTTTCAAAAAAATGATAATAACCGAAAATGATGGTCGGAACAAAAAAAGATGATATCGAAAATAAATCAAAGCTACTGGTGTTTTGTTTTGTTTTTCTTGGGCAAAAATCACGAATTTTTTTTTATATAATGTAACCTATATTATGATGTTTTTCAAGTCTTCTTTAAGATTTTTTGTATTTTTGTTTTCATTTTTTTAAAAAAAATTTCTATCATGTCCTGTCATATGGTTCATTTAAGGAATTTTTTCTTTCACTTGTCAGAAAAAAATCAGTGCTGAATAGACAGTGTTAAAAAAAGTGTTAAAGAAAAAAATTTCGATCAGAAAAAAATGAATGTATAATGAGATTAAGATGAATGATTTTTGGAAGTAAAACAAAAAAAAAACTTACTTGAATGTTGTTGAGATCTGTCATCATTATTACTATTGACAAATGATTGCGGCGTTGTTATCGTTGAATATCGATTAATAAATCTTTGTATCGATTGATTTGATAATTTGGATTTTAATGCCAATGAACAATGTTGATGATTAAATGTAATGAAAAACAATATATAAAATAATAATGATAATAATTTATAATTATAATTATAACACCAACACAACCACCAACAACAATTATTTTGTTTTGATAAAATTATCATCATTTTTTTTACATTGATGTTGATTCAAGAAACTTTCCGAAAAAAATCATTTAGTAAAAATTTTTTTTCAAAAATAATATTGATCGATTTGATCAGTTCCAGTGCATCATGCTGAATGGTTAAGTTACAAATTCAAAATGAACAATGATGGGCGCCAAAAATGAATGAATGAAAATCATAAATAAATGAAGAGAAAAAGAAAAAGTGAAAACACGCCGAGGAGAGAGAGAGAGAGATGGAGAAAAAAGATGGAGAAAGATGGAGAGAAAGAGAGAAAAAACTGAAATCCGCATCTAACTGTGTTGTTCTCTCTCTCCTAGAGATTTATCCAGATTATTCGATTCAAGTTTCTTTTTAAATCTCAGTTTTTTTTTGTTGATCAATGATGACATCGTCGGTTTACCGTTAATCATATACAATGATTAATTAATCAAATAACAATGAATTTTTCTGTTTTCTTTAATGAAAATGAAAGTATACAGAATTAATTTGTTGTTTTTTGGCGAGAAAATTCTCCATTCATCCAACCGACAACGATTTGATTTCAAAATCAAAACAGATAATCAAATATTTTTTCATGTGAAAATTCAAATAAGGATGACATTCACGAATTGCTAAATTTGCAAAAAAAATTATGCAAAAAACAAAAATTCCAATGAAAATTTATTGCTTGTGAATGGCTCATCTCCAATGATGATTATATCGAAGAAATGATGAAAAAAGAAGAAAGAAATCATCATAACAACAACAATAACAATTAATTGTGACAGCGGTTTGTTCACATTCAAACTTTGTTTTCTGTTTTGTTTTGTTTTGTTTTCACTTTATAATTATCACCTATTGATATGATGACATAACATTGATGATGATACAGTCAGAGTCATGATGAACAGAAAAACAAAAACAACAACAACGAAAATCAACCATCAAACATGATGTGGCTATTGTGTTTTGTTTTTGATTTCATGTTTAACTTTGAAAATAATAATAATAACGAAACAAGATTATCATGTGAAAAAACTGAACTGAAGAAAAATTCAAAATTTGATCCATATGGATACAATAAGACAATTTTAACAACAACAACAATGATGATTATGATCTAAATAAAGATGTTTTTCGTTTTTCCAAAGATTCTCGATTCAACTAAATTATATAAATCAAACTCACACACACACACACAAACGGCACCGGTTTGTGATAATGATCAAAATGTTGATGGTAGTTGTGGTGTTTGATGTGAACGAAAATTTTTTTAATTCTATCTTTTCATTTGAAAAAAAGAGGAAAAATAATGGCTTTATTTTGTTTTGTTTCAAAATGATCTAATTTTTTCGTTTGAAAATCCTAATAATAATAATGATCATCATCGTGATGTGGTCAGTAAGAATAAAAAAAACTGAATCATATCATCATTAATGATGATATGATGATAATGACCGGTAATGATCACCTGTATCGATTTTTTCCTATGATGCGAATAATGATCCATTTTTAGTTCATCAAAAAAAAAAGGAAAAATCCGATTGATTCATTAACATATTTACTTTTTTTTGGGAGAAATTTTTTTTTTCGGAAATTTTCTCATCTTTGTTGTTGTTGTTGTTGAAACATCTGCAAAAATCAAGGTCATAATCATAATGCTGATGATGACATTTATGATTCTTTTGTTTTGTTTTTTGTTTTTCGATTCCATTCTTAGATTTTATCAAGGTTTTTTTCAAAACAATCATTCATCATTTTTTTTCCAATGATAATAATGATTGTAAAAAAATTTTTGACCAAATTTAGTTAAATTCCATTCGAAATTGTTGAAAAATTGTTGAAAGAAAAGTTGTAAATTTCTTTTTAAAATTTTTATTATTATTATTATCATTACTTATTACTTATTATTCGATAAAACATTATCAATTCATTTTTTTTATTAATTAAAAGTTTTTGTTTTTTTCGGTTTTTTTTGCTGTTGTTGTTGTTGGGAATTGTGGAAAGTGAAATAAAATTCAGGACAAGCAAACAAACAAACAAACAGGGATAATTTTGCTAAGAAAATCTAATTTGGTTTTTTCGATATAATTGATTGATTGATTGATTAAAAACACACACACAATTTGGTAAATGAATAGATTTTTTTTGAAGGAATAACAAATGAATGGAATAATAATGATAATTATCAAGAAAAAAAACAATGTTTTTTAAAATTTTTCAAATGAATTTTTTTTTTGTTGTTTTTTTGTAGTTTTTTTGTTTGGTTATAACAAAGTTTAAAATTTTAAAATTCAAATTTTTTTGTTATTGTGAATATGAAATTGTGATCAAAACTGGAACAGAAACAGGGTTAAGGATCTTTTATTTTGAAGGGTAATGATATAACAAGGATGATGATTTTTATTTTGAAATGTTGTGACCAGTTTCTGATGGTTTTTCCAAATTAATCCAGGGTTTTTTTTTGTTGTGAAATGTGAATAGTGCAAATCAATATTGATGATGTAATGATGATTGAAAGAAAAAAAAATTTGACACAAATGATTTAAAATGGATAAACGTTTGTCGTTTGTTTAAGAAATACTTTTTTTTCAAAAAAACAAAAAAAAATTGTTCGTTGTCTATGATGATAGGCGATTGGTAAATGATCAATGATGATGATGATGATGATTAGTGATTGATTGATTGATGATTTTCGCTTTTACCTGGTAAATGCAATTATTTTAGCTAAAAATGAAATTAAAATTAAAATCAAAATTGAAAACAAAAATCAAAAGTACCTCGAAAGTTTTTTTTCGCTGCTAGTTCTTCTACCTTCTTCCTAATAATTTAACCATTTAGACGATTAATAATTGGCCATGATTGTTTTTTTGAATTAATTCTCATTTGTTGTCGTTTATTATTATTGATGATCATTGAATTTATTCGATCATAATTATAATATTTATCATTATTACGAAAATGTTGTTGCAGTTTTCCATTCGAAAAATGTTTTATTGAATTTAAATTCTGTCGTTTCGATTGATCAGATGTTGTTTGTTGTATACTTCGACGTCGTCGTCGTCTTCCTAATTTTTTCAATATTTCTGTATTGATTGCAATTTGTTCTTCAGTTTTTTTAGCTTTACGTCGTGCCAATTCAGCAACTAATCTTTGCCTTAATACAGTTAATGGATAATCAATCGATAGCTGTGGTCCTTCACCACGTTTTTTCACTACTGTCGGTGTATTCATCATACGATTTAAAATTATTTCAAAATTTTTATTATTATTTTCCATTTCTGAATTTAATGTTTTGGATTTATTTCGATTTTGTTGTTGTTGTTGATTCGGTTGATTAATCATTAATTCATCTTCATTCGGATTCATAAATGAATCATCCAATTCATCAAATTTATCTAAATTATTACCAACAACATTATTAAATAAAACTTTATCAATTTTGCCAAGATAATACAGTAATTTTTTTGTTGATGAATGTTGTATCCAACCACTATCGATAATTTTTTTAACCGATTCTTCTTCTTCTTCTTCTTTTTCTTCTTCATCATTCAATGATGGTTGCTGTTGTTGATCATCCATTGTCGAATCAATCATTATCGGATCATTATCATCGTTATCTGGTTGAAAATTTGGCTGATTTTTATCCATTTTATCATTATCAAATTGTTGTTGTTGTTGTTGTTGTTGTCGAGTATTATGTAATGAAAATTCTTCAATTGTTGGATCAAAAACCACCTGTGAATCATCCAAACGTAATTGTGATTTTGAATTATAATGATGATTATTATGATGATGATGATGATTATTGACACGTCTTTGTACATCATTCTGATTTAAACGTAATTGTTGTAATATTTTTAATCTCATTGCATTTATTGATCCAATATTTTTTGGTTGTTGTTGTTCATTATCATTATCATCATTATTATTATTATTTATTGTTGTTGTTGATAAATTTGGTTTTGTTTGTCTGAACATTATTGATTTAGTCATCATCATTGGATTACCCATAACACAATGTGCGCTTAACATGATTATCATTATCATTAAAATCATCATAATGGTCATAATTAATATTGATAATGATGATTTTGATGATGATGATGATGATTTGGACATTATTTGTTTAATATTTCTGTAACAATGATGATTATGATATGTTTTTGTTGTTGTTAATGCTGTTGAATTTGGTTGTTGTTGTTGTTTGGTCGTTGTCATTGTTGTTGAATAATAAGGATTTTTATTTTCATTATTTTTTGTTATTAATATTTTCGATGTAGAATTATTATTATTATTATCAATATTCCTGAATAAGATAATATTATTAATAAATGCTGTAAACATATTTGTTTCGAATAATAAAATATTTTTCAAATTTAATTCTGTTAAAAAATTCTTATTCCGATATTCGTATTGATTTTTATCATCAACATTATTATTCATCGATAACAAATTATCTGATTTGAACAATTTTTTCTTCATTTCAATCAATGGTGATGATGATGATGATGGTGGTGCAATCTGTTGGCCGTCAAATGAATTTAACACCATAATCGTTAAGGAATTCTTTCTTGCTATTTTTTTCCAATTCAATGGTTTGATAGTGAAATTCTGTTAATGAATTCTGATAATGAAACAAAAAATACGGAATTAATTAGTATTTAATTAGATTAATTAGTTATTTTGTTGTTGTTGTTGTTTAGTTCATTTTTAATGAAAAAAGGAAATTAATATTTAAAAAAAAAAATTAACAAGAAAATTTTTTTGTTTTGTTAATAATTTACTAATTGGATGTTTATTAAACAAAGAAACAAAAATATATTGTCGTATTACAAAATGATAATTATTTGTATAATATATACTCGAAAAATGTAATTAACATTTTTCATTAATTATTGATTATTAATTAATAATCAACATTTATAATTAAAACGATAATTGTAACATAATCAACATTTAATTTGATGTTTTGATTTGATGATTTTTTTTTGTTTGTTTGTTGTTTCGAGAGAAAATTTTTATTAATAAAATCATCATTTTTTTCGCAATAATAATAATAAAAATAGATTTTTTTTTGTAGTTTTTTGAAAATATCAAATTTCAAGCTAAAATGGTATGATGTACATGGTACACATGTGAAAATTAATTTTCAATCATTTCGATAAGAATCTATGAATAAGATAATAAAAAATCAACAAGTGTGATGTTGAAAACAGTTGATTTTTCCTTTCTCTTTTGCTTATTAAGATAATCGGCAACAGCATTTTGTCGGCATTGTACCCTTCTTATTGAATTTTTTTTTTTGAATAAATTTCGGCTAATTAACTTGATTGATTGATTGATTGATTGACAGAATCACTCATGAATTTGATAATGATCTATTTGATCAATCATTCATTTGGAAGATGATTTTTTTGGTTAATGTTCCCACGCACACACACAGATTAATAATCAAAATTGAAAAAAAAGAAAAAGAAAAAAAATTCATTCCTTTTACACAGGGACAGTCTTTTTTTTAAAAAAATGTGATTATGATGATGAACACTTGCCAAACAAAACTAAACGACTAATCGATGATTGATTGATTAATAAAAGAAAATGAAAAATTGATTTTGTAGTGGCTTTGGTAGACTGTCGAATGTTATTATTGTTGCTGATGTTTCGTTTTTTTCTGCTTCTGCTTTTTTTTCTTCTTTTTTCAAACCAAAAAACTAAACTAAACATCTTAATCCAGCGGGGAAATCCATTTTCCCAAAAAGAAAAAAAAATCAATGTAAATCAGGTCAACAATATTCATTCATTCATTCGCATACAATGCTAATCTATTTGGATTTATTTTAGCAGTCAAATCGAAGAAAAAATAAAAATACATGCATGTTCAAAATACAATAATTATCGCATAAATGATAATCACCGAAAATGAAAACGAAAACGAAAAATGAAACACATACCTTTTTCAAAATGTATAGGTTTTTTTGGTCGTTGTTTGCTCAAAAAAAAAATCGATAATCAAATCAAATTGAATCGATACTTTTCTTCTCAATGATGATTTATATATGATTGTGAAATATGGTCGAAATTGAATCTTTTGGCGGTTCGTTGATCCAATTAAAATCAATCGAAAAAAGAAATCAATTCGATTACAATGATGATGATTTGAATCAATTTTATTAGAGCGAGAAAAACAAACAAACACAGAAAAATAATAATAATTGATTTTATTGCACAAACACAGGATGTGAAATCAATATGAAAATTGAATTTTTTCTTTTGTTATTGATGAAGAATGAAATTAACAACAACAACAAAAATATATTTTTCAAATTTTGGATGAGGGAAAAAAAGAAAAATATTCTCCGAACAAAAGACACACAAAAGAAAAGAAAATTGATTTTGTTTTTGCTGTTTTTGCTTCTTGATGTTTGAATTTTCACATTCAAAAAATATCTTGTTCAAATTGAATAATTGATTCAAATAATCATTTAACAAAAAAAAAAATTCTGGATTTCATATGAAATTCCAATGGAAAATTTGAATCAAATTAGGAATTCAAACAATAAGTTTTGGTTGTCATTAAATGTTTTTTTCTTTAGGGCTGTTTAGTTAGTTTAGGTCGCGATCGATGTTGATTGTTTGAAGGCGATTTTCAAAATGAATTCAAAACAAACCGAATGTTTTGTGCTTTAGATTTGGTTGGTGATCAGTTGTTGTCGTCGTCGTCGTATTTGTTGCTGGTTGTGTAATTTTCCAATTCAGTTTTTACATTGAACAACAACCACCACCACCATTATATTTATCATCATTGATTGACGCGAAACAGAGTGCGCGTCAAATGTATATATATTTTTCTCTCTTTCTCTCTCTCTCTCTATCTTTCTGGTATTAATTTGAAGATTATTTTCCATCATCAACATCAACATCAACATCAACAAACATCATCAATATACCATTGGCTATGAAAGCCATCGAAAGTGACAACACAAGAAAAATAGAAAGAAAAACCTATTATTAGTCAAATGTTGTTGTTTTTGATGTTTTTGATATGGAAGAAATTGAAAATAAACATAAAAAAAATGTTGCGCCCAGAAAAAAAATATTAAAAATAAAGCTAATAACTGATTGACTGGATTGACTGATTGATTGACTAACTGACTGACTTGTTTAACTTGCTGCAATAGTTGTCATCATCATCATCATCATTCAAGCCGAAGAAGAAAAATAAAAGATGCGCGCCATTTTAATCAAATCAAAATTTTATGAAAAATTCATTTGAAAAAAAATGCATTGACATTCATTTTTTTCTGTTTCGTTGAAAGCAAATGTCAATCACTATAATAGCCTGATGTACATTTTCATTATCATTCGAATTATCATCATTATTCAATCCAAATTGATTGATTGATTAAGATTTGACAAAGTTTTGAAGAAAAAAAAATTTCATAATTAGTTTTTTTTAGGTTCAAATTAGGTTCAAAAGGGTTTTTTTCAAATAAAACCAAAATATTTAAAAAAGAAAACAGACAAAATGCACCCGAATTATAGCCAAAAAAAGAAGATGCTTCTTTTGAAATTTGAAATTTGAGTTTGAAAAAAATATTTTCAATTTTCCATTTTATGCAATTATTATCTTATGTGTGTTTCAAATAAGAAGAAAATGACATTCATTCAAATTCTCGACAAACAACATTGAGTTTCATAATATTCATAAACCATAACACCCACCACACTGTGTTAATCAAATCAACCAAGAAAAATTTTCTTTAAAAAAAATTTAAAAAGAAAAAAATCTTTTAAATGAAAAATATCCATTAATTTATTCACCTTATTCATCTATCAAATGAATAAGGGTTCGTAATGTTTGTGGTTGGCCAGAATCAAACAGAATTTTTGTTGTTGTTGTTTGCTTCATTATGTAATATGATTCACAAATTCGTACATTATATTTTCATAATTTTGATAATGAATCAAAACAACAACAACAAAAAGAGTTGAATTTTGATTGAAGAGCGAAACAAGTTCATCAATCTTTTTGTTTTGCATTGGAAAAAAGAAAATAATCAATCAATCAATCAAAATTGATAGGAGAAAAATTGATGATTACATTGCTTATTATTTAGACATTTCGATTACTGGATATGCAATATTTTTTTTTGAAAGAAAAAAAATATTTGACCTTTTTTTCACTCAATTGAAAAACATTATTATGTTACCCTGTTGTTCATCTGCTGTCAAACAGGATGAATTTTTTTTTTTGATTTTTGATTTTTGATTTTCGTTCGAATCGATTCAATCCAATCGTTGCTGTTGTTGCCATATTTAGATCACAAATTGATGAGATAATAATGATGATGATCGCCATCATCATTTCATGCAATATTTCTTTCTTTTGTTTTGACACTATGAAAATGATTACATAGCCAGAAAAACAACAGTAACAACAACAACAAAATTACATTGTCAAGTTCAAATCAATTGGGCAACAAGTGTCCAACCAA